AAAAAAAAAAAAAAAAAAAAAGACAAGGTGATACCGGCATAAGGGCAGACATATTCAATGGAATAGAACTGAGAGTCTAGAATAAATTCATACTACATGGTTAACTGATTTTTGACAAGGATGCCAAGACCATTCAATGGGGAAAAGCAGTCCTTTCAACAAATGGTGCTGGGACAACTAGATATCCACAAGCAAACGAGTTAATGGAGAGTCTTAGAGATGGAAAGTGATGGGCTCCAGAACATATTGGACAGACTGCTATATTTTACTAACTGGTGCTCCCCAGACTCAACTGTATAAAAAATAGGAAGGTTAAGAGCTGACCAAAATCCTACCCTGGCCAACATGGGAGCTCACTGAGTGGGTCCTTGGAAAGACTGTTCATGATTAAAGCAGGAACTATGTCAACCAAGGAGGAAGTTTAGCATGCCTTTGTTGGTAAGCTCAAAGAGCTGTGGCCTAACAGACACTTAGCTAGAGACCACCAGCCTGGGCACCTAGCACTAGGACTAGGCCTAGAGCTGGCTTACCTCTAGGATCAAGGTGGTCAGATTTTGGGTTCCTAGCTCAGTCTAGGACACTCAGAAATTTTCTGGCCTGGAAGTAAGAACTTCTGCCTTATAATGCCATAGGAGCCTGTTGCATTAACTGAATAATACATATTAATATATATAATACTATCATAATTAAAGTATATATAAATATAATATATAATAATTATTTTAGTGATCCTAAAGATAATCGGTTGATAATTTTCAAAATCATAAACCTAAACAATAGGGGGAGCAAAAACTTAAGAGAATGAATTAACCTTAGATATTAGAGTATTTTCTTCATAAACCTTCCTATGACCAGGCTCGGTGGCTCAGCCTGTAATCCCATGCTTTGGGAGGCTGAGGTGAGTGAATTGCCCGAGCCCGCGGGTTCGAGATCCGCCTGGGCAACTTGGCGAGACTTCATCTCTACAATAAATAAAAAATTAGCCGAGCATGGTAGCACACACCTGTAGTTCCAACTAGTTGGAAGGCTGAGGAGGAAGGATTGCCAGAGCCCAGCAGGTCGAGGCTGTAGTGGCCAGGAGCATGCCACTGCACTCCAGTCTGGGCGACAGAGTGAGACTCCAACTCAAAAAAAAAAAAAAAAATCCTTCCTATATACCACAATGAAATTTCTCCCCAATGTCTCCTGGAGGGCCTTCCTTTGCAAATTTCATAAATGTTATCATCTGTGCTCCCAGCTGTATCTTGTATATAACCAATTTTATTTTCAATTCTAAAAGTCCAGATGTCATAATGGTGCTTTTTGCCTGATTCGCTACTGAAAGTTATCTAGTAGCAGTTTCTGACTCTTTTCATTAGTGTGAGCTAACAACAGTTGGTTTCTTAAATTAAACACAGTTAGATGTCAGCCTGTAGCTTTTTCCAGTGCAACACTAAAGTTCCATAAGGGTAGGGTTCTTTGCTTATTTACTGGTTGTACTGGGTGGGACAGTGTCCCTTAAAAATTCAAATCCTTCCAGGAACCTCTGAATGTGACCTTATCGGGAAACAGGGTAGTTGCAGATATTATAGTTAAGATGAGGTCATACTGGAATAGGATGGGTTCTTAATCCAGTAGGACTGGTGTATTTATAAGAAGAGACACAAGCTGGGCTCGGTGGCTCAGCCTGTAATCCCACGCCTTGGGAGGCTGAGGTGAGTGGATTGCCTGAGCCTGCGGGTTCGAGACCTGCCTGGGCAACTTGGCGAGACCTCATCTCTACAATAAATCAAAAAATTAGCCAGGCGTGGTAGCGCATGCCTGTAGTTCCAGGTACTTGGTAGGCTGAGGTGGAAGGATTGCCAGAGCCCAGCAGGTCGAGGCTGCAGTGGCCGGCAGCGTGCCACTGCACTCCAGTCTGGGCGACAGAGTAAGACTCCAACTCAAAAAAAAAAGAAGAGACACAGAAAGAATGCCATATGATGATGCAGGCAGCAACTAGAGAGATGCATTTACAAGCCAGGGAACACCAAAAATTGCTGGCAAACACCAAAAGCCAAGAAGGTGTAAGGAAGAACCTCCCTAGAATCTTCAGAGAGAATATGGTCTTACTGACACCTTGATTTCAGATTTCTAGCCTCCAGAACCATGGAACAATTTTTTTTTCTTTTAGTAAGGCATCTTACTCTGTTGTCCAGGCTGGACTGCAGTGGCATGATCATGGGTCACCACAGCCTTGACTTCCTGGGCTCAGGCAATCCTTCCAACTTAGCCTCCCGAGTAGCTGGGAATACAGGCATGCACCACGACGCCTGGCTACTTTTTAAAATTTATGGTAGAGATGAGGTCTTGCTACATTGCCGATAGTGATCTCAAATGCCTGGGCTCAAGCAATCCTTGATTGCCTTGGCCCCCCAAAGTGCTTGGATTACAGGTGTGAGCCACCAAGTCTGTCCTTAGAACTATGAGATAATTCATTTCTGTTGTTTTAGGCCACCCAGTTTGTGGTACTTTATTATGGTAGCTATAGCAAACTAAAACTAATACACTGGTATGTTCCAGGCTTCTAGGATAATACTTGATATATAATAGGAGTTCAGTAAATGAAATACTTGCTGAATGAATGGATGGACATTTTAATTCCCTAGGATTGACCTTTCTATGGCTTCTGGCACCTACTGCTGACCACCAGCCCCCCTTCCCCCAACCAGGCCCCACACACTTCTTGAAACTGTCTTCTTGTTTTCCACATCACGAGGCTCTCCTGGCTCTGTTCCAATTCTTTTGTCTGCCTTTTAAATCTTCAGTTCTCTCTTCTTGCTCCATGCTTTCTATGTAATTCTATCCGTTCCCAGGTTTCAATTCCCATGTATACCAGGGACTCCCACATCTAAAACAGATCCAGTCACGTCACTTCCCTGCTTAAAAAAACTGAGACAGCTCCTCATTGCCTACAGATTAAGTCTAAACTTGCCCAATTCAGCATTTTACTCTGTCTTCACCCCAGTATGCATAAATCCCTTCCTGTAAAGTAACCTGTACTCCAGCCACAAAGGGTTATCCAAATTTCTCAAACATACTGTGTTTGATTTTTTTTTTGAGGAAATAGGAATCATTAAGAAGATAGAAAAGCTCCCACAGCAGGAGGGGACCTGAAAGAGGTTGCCCTGTGTTTGATGCTTTTAATGCGTCTGTATTCTTTCCATCTGGAATGTTCTTCATCCCCTTCATCTACATGGTGAAACTCTAGTTCAGGCCAAACACAAATGTCATCATTTTTGGAGCCTTTCCTGACCACAATTCAGGGTGAACGACCCACTTCCACCCGTTTTTCCATAGCCTTTTGTTCACAATACCAGTATTTTTTCCTATCACAATGGGCCAATCGTTCCCTCACTGAGTCATGAGCTCTTTAATGATAAAGATCATACCTTATTCATCACAGATCCAGTACCTAGCTCAGTGCCTGGCACATGCTGTGTTCTACAAGATTACAGGTTAAATGAACTCATTCAAATGACAACAGAATCACATTTGAGCATCATTTCAACAAAGCACAATAAAGATACTGCTGCATTAACAAAAGCTAGAAAACCACCAAAAATGTCAAAGTACTGGGCCGAACTGGGTGACTTGTTCAACACCAGATGGGATATTTATATTCTTCAGAAATAGACTCCTACAAAATAGGGAAATCCTAGACAGAGAGTATCAACCACTTACCTTCGAAGATACATGGTTTCCTCATCTTCTGTGTTACAAAACTTGTGGGCATGTTTGGCTGCATCAATGACACGGGACCGGTCCCGGGGCCTCATGGGCAATTTCTCTAACTGACAATCTGCAGGAATGGGGAAAGAGTTGGTCACTAGAGTCACTGCAAAACATCCTAAGTCAATCAGAAGTTTTCAGTGGGGCCCCTAGCACTATAATGTTCTACTATAATTACTATGCTTATTGAAACCTATTATTGCATTTTCCAACTAAAAATGACCTGTGTCAGGAGACCTTGGTTTTGGTCCCAGCTATGTAACTATCCAATGATCTCTGGCAAATTACTTCCTCCTCTAGAGATTTTTTCCTCATTTGAAAGATGGGTGGATTATATTATCTGAAAAGTCCATCCTGGCACTGCAAGTGAAGTACCTGAGCATTTCTGTGATCATCCTATACTTGGTTTCTGTTACAGTGTATTAGAATCAGAAGAGACAATCAAGCTCCTGGAACGCCTATGAAGAAGCATTGGGAAAAGCAGATTTGTGCTAAGAAAAGGAGAGAGAAGGCAGGCTCGGTGGCTCAGCCTGTAATCCTGAGCCTTGGGAGGCTGAGGTGAGTGGATTTCCTGAGCCCGTGGGTTCGAGACCTGCCTGGGCAACTTGGTGAGACCTCATCTCTACAATAAATCAAAAAATTAGCCAGGTGTGGTAGTGCACGTCTGTAGTCCCAGCTACTTGGAAGGCTGAGACGGAAAGATCGCCGGAGCCCAGCAACCTGGGCGACAGAGTGAGACTCCAACTGAGATGGAAGGATCGCCTGCACTCCAGCCTGGGTGAAAGAGTGAGACTCCAATTCAAAAAAAAAAAAGAAAAGAAAAGGAGAGAGAGGGTAAAGGATATGACATTTATAGTACACAAATGACCCAACCTAGTTGGAGGAGTTTTAATCGGAAAACAATGAAAACATATGGAAAAAAAATTAGGTACAGTTATAAAGCAGACTGAAAATTGGTATAATGCAAATTAAGTAGCTAAAGGGTCACAGAAAAAGACAAGTGGTCAGAGTGATTAGAGATTAAAGGAGGAGGTGAGAAGAGGAATTAGAAAACACTAGGCACAGCCGGGCTCGGTGGCTCAGTCTGTAATCCCGCGCCTTTGGGAGGCTGAGGTGAGTGGATTGCCTGAGCCGGCGGGTTCAAGACCCTCCTGGGCAGGCGAGACCTCATCTCTACAATAAATAAAAAAATTAGCCGGGCCTGGTAGCGCGCACCTGTAATTCCGGCTACTCGGAAGGCTAAGGCAGAAGGATCGCCGGAGCCCAGCAGGTCGAGGCTGCGGTGGCCGGGAGCGGCCACTGCACTCCAGTCTGGGCAACAGAGTGAGACTCCAATTCAAAAAAAAAAAAAAAGAAAAGAAAACACTAGGCAGTTTATATGTTAACTCATTTACTCTTCACAATGAACAGTTAAAGTAGAGATTTATTGTTCCCATTTTAAAGACGAGGGAACTGAGGCTTAGAAAGGGTAAGAGATCTATCACACATCTGATAAGAAGCAGAACAAGAATTCAGACACAACTCTAAGTGATTCAAAAGCCCTGCTCTTTCCACCACTCTCATCAAGAATTCATTTATTTAATAAATATGAGGGCTCTCTATGTGCCAGGCACTGTTCCAACATGGTGCTGGGCATTCAGCAAAGAACAAAGCAGAAAAAGTCTCGTCCCTGATGAAGCTTACATTCTAGTGGGAAAGGCAAAATATAATAATTAAATAATGTGATCTTGGATAATAAGTACTAATAAAAAATTAGGCAGGGTAAGAGGACAAAGAGCAACAGGGATGCTATTTTAGATAAGGGAGTCAGGGAAGAGTTCTCTAAGGAAGTGACATTTCAGCAGAGACCTGGATGAAGTAAGGAAGCATTGAGGAAAAAGTCTTTGGGGCAGAAGAAATACCAATTCCAAGGGCCCAAGAGGGCAGAAAATTTTTGACATGATGGAGATAAGGCAAGAAGGCCACTGTGGCTGGAGTGCGGTGAGCAAGGGGAAGACTGCTAGGAGGCCACGTCTGAGAGACAGCTAGAGGCCTACTCACGTACGGTCTTGGTATGGACTTTGGTTTTATTCTCAGAGTTATACAAAACTACCAGTTTTAACAGGACTCTGGTTGCTGTATGGAAAAATGACCAGTGGAAACAGAGTGGAAGCAGGGAGAGCAACAGACTATGGTGCCAATCCAGGAAAGAGATGGTGGTAGCTTGGACTAGAGTGGTAGAAATGGAGGTGGTAAGAAGTAGTCAGATCCTGGGTAGATTTTCAGGGACACACCTGCAGGATTTGTTGATGGAAGTGGTAGAAATGGAAGCAGTAACAAGTAGTCAGATCCTGGGTACATATTCAGGGATACACCTGCAGGATTTGTTGATGGACTGGACAGATGTAAGGTATGTGAGAGATAGGAGCCAAGAATAATTCCAGGTTTTCAGTCTGAGATACTGGATGGATGAATAGTGGTACCAGTGAATAGTGGTGCCACTGAATGCAACATGGAAGACTGTATGAGCAGGGTGTAAGGGATCATGAATTCAATTTTGAACATTATATATTTGAGAGGCCCATTAGATATCTAAAAGGAGATGTTGAATAGGCAATTGGAGTTTCAGGAGAAGTGCAGGTTAAATGTGAACATCTGGGAGTTATCAACATATAAGTGGCATTTAAAGCCTGGAAATGATTGCGTTCACCCAGAGAGTGAGTATTGAGATCTTGGGCCTTGGAATGCCTAAAAGTCTGAGAGACAAGCAGGAGCCAGACAAGAAGGGGCAAAATCTGAGACAGGAGGAAAGTCAGGAGAGTTTGAAGTCTTAGAGGCAGAAAACATGTTTCAAAAAGAAGGGAGTGGCTGTCTCTGTCCAATGCCACTGACAGGAGGATTAAAATCAACACTGGAAAATTAACCACTGGAGAGGCCAGGCGCTGTGGCTCACACCTGTGATCCCAGCTCTTTGGTGGGAGAATCACTTGAGCTTAGGAGGTCGAGACTGCGGTGAGCTATGATTGCTACCTCTGCCCTCCACCCTGGGCGACAGAGCGAGACCCCAACTCAAAATAATACTAACAACCACCACCACCGCCACCACTGGAACTAGTAACAGAGCAACAGAGAGTTCAGTTAGTAACTAAAAATCTGACTTAAATAATGAGGTTGGAAGGAAAGCCTGCCTGAAGTGAGGGAACGAGAAGTGAGGACGCAGATACAGTCAAAACAGGCAACTCTTTTGAGGAGTTTTGCTATAAAAGAAGCAACGAAATGGGGTTATAGCTGGAGGGGTTTATTTGATCAATGGAGGGTTTTATTTTCGTTTGTACCGAGATGAGAGCTATTACAGCATCTTTAAATACAGTTTCTAGAGGCGGGAGCTTTTGACAATAATGGATTGAGAAGGAAATACAGTATTTTTTTTCTGAAAGAAGAAATTAGTTTTGAGGGAAGTCTGGATAGTTACAGACTTAAACAGAAAACATTTTTTTAATGCCCTGGAGTGCGGCGGGAAAGTGTAGGGAGGATTTTAATGAGTGACGGCTCTCAGATCACAGCCAGAGAAATTCACCTCAAGAACCCAAAGTCTCGCTCCTTGCAGACGCTCCCCTGTTCCCGACTACTCACCCAGCACCAGGACCATCTGGCCGCACAGACAGTAGTACACGTGGAGGGGCTTCTCGCCGTCGTCATACTCCTCCCGGTCCCGGGTGTCGGAGCAAACTACCGACCTGGACACTACTTTCGGCATAGCGCAAAGGAACAGCCAAAAAAACTGAAGGCCAAGAAAGATGGTCGCGTAGAAATGACGTCACAGGCGTGCATTGCGTCTTCTCCCTTCTGCAACGTTAGTCACGTGTTAGGAGTACTCTTCCTATAAACTTCCGGACTGTCCCATCAGGCTATGCTGCACGGGGGCCCGCCTGGCGCCAAAACTTACTTTGCCGTGGGACTGTTTTATTTGTGGCACTTTTTTTTTTTTTTTTTTGAGTTGGAGTCTCACTTCGTCGCCCAGGCTGAAGCGCCGTGGCACACCCACGGCTACCCCAGCGTCGACCTGCTGGGCTCTGCTGATCCTTCCGCCCCAGCCTTCCAAGTACCCGGAACTACAGACGCGCTACCACACCCGACTAGTTTTTGATTTATTGTAGGGATGAGATCTAGCCAAGTTGCCCGGCCTTGTCTCGAACCCGCGGGCACAGACAGTCCACTCGTCTTGGTCTCCCAAGGTGCTGGAATGACAGGCTGAGCCACCGAGCCCAGCCGGTTGTGACACTCTTAGCATTATTTAAATTATTTATATTTCTATACACGAATGCATATATATGTGTGTGTGTGTGTATGTGTGTATAAAACCAAATATATCAGAGGACTATACATATTTTATATGCATAATACAGATTGTAAGTGTTTCTAACTATAATTTTGATTTAATGAGCGTATTCAGGGTGGGTACCTAAAGAAGTAGAGACATCTTTTTTTTAGTTGATATAATTCACATAACATAAAATCCACCTTTTTAAAGTATCTAATTGAATAATAGTATATTCACAAAGTTGTGCAATCATCACCACTATCTAATTCCAGAACATTTTCATCATCTCTAAAAGAAATCCTATACCCACCACTTCCCAGCCCCCGGCAACCACAAATCTACTTTTTGTCTCTGTAGATTTACCTATTCTAGACAATTCTTTTTTGGATTTTGTTCATTTATTACTTTAAATAGCATTATTGGAGTCTCACTATATTGCCCAAGCTGATCTCTATCTCCTGGCCTCAAGGGAACCTCCCACCTCAGCCACCCAAAGCATTGGGATTACAGGCATGAGCCACTGTGTTTGGCTACTGTTCTGCACATTTCATATAAATTGAATGATACAATATGTGACCATTTGGTTTTTTTCACTTAGCATGATGTTTTCAAGGTGCATTCTGTTTAGTACTGCATTCCTTTTTATGGCTGAATAGTATTTTTTTTTTTTTTTTTG